ACTTTTGGCACAGTGTTGCTTCAGTTCAGTGTTGGGGGTCTCTTAGGGTCCCACCATAGCGTTTCATTTGGGTCGAGGTCTGGACTTTGACTGGGCCACTGCAACACCTTGAATCTTTTCTCTTTCAGCTATTTCGTTTGTAGATTTGCTCCTGTGCTTAGGATTATTGTCCTGTCGCATGGCCCATTTTTGGCCAAACTTTAGCTGTCGGACAGATGGGCCCAGATCCTGTGGCTGTGTAACAAAACCAAATCATCACCCCCTCCACCACCGTGCTTTACAGCTGGTATGAGGTGTTTGTGCTGATATACTGTGTTTAGTTTTCACCAAACACAGTGCTCTGCATTATGGTCAAACATACTCAGCGTGGTCTTGTCTATCTAGAAGGACACCATTTCAAAATGATATGGGGTTTGTTGAGAACGTTGCAAACCTAAGCTTTGCTGCCATATTTGTTTAGAGAAAAAAGGCTTTCTCCTGGCAAAACTTTCAAAGAAGTCATACTTGTTCAGTCTTTTTCTAATTGTACTTTCATTAACTTTAGGGTGCTAACTGGAGCCTGTAGAATCTGGTTTGTTTTCTGTAGGTTCTCTAATCATTGCACAGTATGACGGTGAATTTGGTGGGATGTCAACTCCTGAGAAGATTGGCAGCTCTCCCCACACACTTGCACACACACCTGAATGCTCCAGACAGCAAGCTACCAAAGCATACGTGTTTATATACGTGTCTAGACTTGCTGATGAGCAGTTCATTAAGCTGCATTGTCTTCATCAATTTTGGAAGCCATATTGGAGGACCTAAGGTCCAGAACTGGCTAATGCAGAGTAAAATCTTCTATGCATTTTGGGACCAATAACAGACATATGTTAAAAAGGATCAGTAAAATCCTAAAACCAATTCTAAAGTATACAGACAGCCCCCTTCGGTTTTGAGAGAGTGGATTTTTATTTGAAAGAAGCAGAATTGGACAGCTTTTTTTATGTGTTGTTTAAAGGTTGGGAGGGATTCAAACTGCAATAATTTCACGCTGAAGGCATCAAATTAGCAGACAAGGAACCTAGGACACTTTCAAAATGATTTGTACTACTGAACAGTTCGATTCTTGATTTTGAAGTATTTCGTTGAAGAAAAAAGTCACACAACAAGAGCTAAGTAGACGTGCATCACCAGGATATACTTCTACTTTGATTAAACGTTGCCATTTGTAATGCTGTGGGTTCAGAAAGAGACAACCAGTAAAGGAAAACATAAAACAAAAAGCTTTCGAGCATACCCTGAATGGTAGTGGATTCTGTTTGTGTGGGAAGTGATTCAACAAGTGCCACATCTGGGGCTGAAAAAAAAATGGGGGAAGAAAAAAAATATAAACATTATTTATTAAAATAAGAAAAACTATAACTAAAGGTCACAATATCAGAACATTTGTTGGTTGTGTCTAAGCAAAGTAAAAACAATCGTAGTGAAAGACAAATGTACTTACACACTTTATTGCTTTTATATGTGGTGGTAAAGGCTGTTGTCAAATTCTCGCTATCTGTATCTGGAAGATAAAAAAAGCATGTTAAAAATGTCACAGCGCTCTATCTTCAGCTCCCAGTCTACTGAGAGTGGCTTGTGTAACACCACAGCTGCTGGCTGAGGAGGGAATATTCACTGTTGAGACACAGTAATCTGATTATTATTAAGGGCTGGGACTGAAACAAACCTGTCCAACTCCTATTTTTCTGAATAGCTGTGATGCAATGGTATTAGTCAGAGCACGGAAAAGAGAAACACGTTACTAGTAACTGTAATATAAAAACTCAGAGCTGCAATAATCACAGATTTAACAGAAACAGCAAAAGCGCCATCGCTTTGGGCCCCTTTTTTTTTTTCCGAGCTTTGCATTGCAGCAAATTTAAATTTTGTGGTTAAAGCAAGACAAATAAAGATGTCATTTTGGGTTCTATGTTATTACAGACTTATAGGCAGCTTTAATCAATAAAAGTTTATAGTACTTGTGAGAATGGTCAGTAATAAAAACATAAAAAAGACATATATGGATTTTTATATCTTGTAAAAAAGAAAATACAAAGAAACTATTAAATGCAGCTTTACTATATAGTTATTTCAATAATATTTTCACATTTAAAGAAGACTTTTTAAATTCCCATTACACATGGTTTGTTTCATTCAACAAGTCAAAACTGAACACAAAGAATTTACAATATAGTGTAATATAAGACCAGGAAAAGGAAAGCAATCTTGTATTTACATAATAGCTGCCAACTAACTTTCACTGAAGTGATCGGTTAATCGACCAGAGTGGAAGCTCTACGATGGTTAAGTTGAAATGTTAGCCAACAAGAACTACTCGAGTAAAAGTAGATTGAAACTTTACTTCTCCAAAACGCAACAATATATCAAACTGTCAGATGACACCTGTAACAAAACAGGAAGAAAACAATAAAAGGCTATATAGTACAAAAAGAAAAGAAAAAAAAGATAGAGCTTACGATTCATGGTTGGTTATTGGTCTCACCGGTTATACCTGAAAGAAAAACACAAACTGTAAAAACAGACAACGAGCTCATGGTGATTTCCGCTCAGAGCTTTTCCAACATGTTGATGTGAATCTGTCACACATGTTTTCTCAAACCGGTCAACACCTCGTTCCTCGGCTTTGTTACCAACGCGTTTCGCAGCCCAGCTGTCTTTTTTTATCACAGTCAACCATCTGACTGTTTTTTAAGGAGCCCTCAACTGAAAATGTACTTGTTTGGTACAAATCCACCTGAAGCCCGGGGCAAAAACCGACGAGTGAGTAACACACACTTCCAGAAGAAGTTTTTACACTTCTCAAACTCGAGCTGATCAATCAGGCATTGTTCATCGCAGCTGTTGAGTGAGCTTACCTGTCTGGGCGCAGCGCAGCGGAGGAGCGCGTCACAAAACCGGACAAATTCACTGAGTTTCCCCCCCTCCTGGGAGAGCTTTTATGGTGGAGAAAACTAACGCCCACTGCCTTTTTTAAGTCTGGTAATCTAACCGGCGTGCGGCTCTGGTAAGGGGTCTGAATCTGCGTCTGTTGAATACAGTTAACTAGTCACAGTTTTCCTTCCAGCACTCGTGAGTCATAAAGCACACGCGCTCAGTTTCCGCCTCCCCTCCCTTTCCTCCATGTCAAAGATCGTCTCTCATCAAGATGTATCACTTCCACCACGAACCCCTTTAATAAGGGTAAACCGATGATAATGATGACTAATTACTATGGTTTAATAATAATTACTTATGCAATGGGTTACATATGTCATTAGTTATGAATTATATACAGCATAGTTTTGTGTATGGTGTCACAGATGACAAGATATTTGGTTTAGTGTACGCGTTAACTCGTGGTATTTGAACGTAAACCACAATCCTTTGCTAACCCAACCAAAGAGTAAGTGAAAACAGAGTCAACAGTGAGTAGGAAAGGACACAAACCAGCTCTCCAGGTTTACATGTTTGATTTGCAGCTTTAGTCGCCTCCCCACCGGCCTACTTCACACTCCTTGCAAACAAGATTTATGAGCATTAGTTTCAACTTAATAGCTAGCCACGCCTGTAATGTTTATGGCTCTTTATGTTTATGGTATGTATTAATCATTTACAAAGACTTTATAAATGACACACTATGACACTATCAAGTGTTTTAACTTTGCAGACAGTGTTCTAGTACATAGCCAACAATCAGAAAATAACTAATAGTTGAAATAAATTTAACTATTTCATTATTACAATGGTATTATAAACTATTACCTGTTGAAATACATTTGGGTCATTATTATTATTAGTAGTAGTATTAGTATTAGTATTATTTAACATTGTTTTAATTCTTAAAGAATGCCAGAACATACATCGATTAAGTGAAGTAAAAAAAAAATTCTTATGACAACATGTACTCTAAAAATATTTTACTAATCCTGAACATAATTTTACTTGTGACAAAGATGGCCCTGGTTAGCTGGCCCTAGTGTAGAAATCTATGTAATAAAGAATCCTAGTTATGTCTGGGGTTCTTTATTACATAGGTGTAGGTGTATCTCCTTAAAGCAATTTTATTTTACATTATGCATAAATATGGGGGGCTGAGTCATGACAGATTATTTAAATATGTGACAAAGTTCACATTGTTTGCACATACAGCAGGAACAATCTTAAGCTGAAATAGCCAGATTGAAAACCTCTGTAGATGTAGTTGCGCTTGGTAAGCGTTCTTACACGTAAGCATTCATTTGTCATGTGTAACGGTCACCAGTAAAATCCAGTAAGTAAGTTAGCAGCTGTCTAACTGAAAACAAAACTGCTTGTCGTTCCACATCAAGAAGTGAGACACACATTGGGCTCAGATGACCACAAGAAATTTCAGGAAGCTGTCCCTTCATGTTGTTTCGTTATAATAAAAGAAACATGAGCTAAAACGTGTGTATATATATATAATCAAACCTTTCCAATACTGTCTAATCAATTATGTTATTTCACAGATAATTTGTCATGACAGTCAAATCATTAAGCAAGCAATGTTGTATACATCTGATGAGTACTGAAGTCCAGGCTGAGTGAGCGCTCACCATTTTCCACCCCATCATCTTAAACATCTACTAGCAGAGAGACAAAATGGTGACATTACCCAGTTTTTATTGCCGTTTACACAATGTTCTTATATCCTGTGCACATATACATCGAATAACCCAAAAATTAAAAAGTCAGAAATTCAGCTTTAGTATAAACAAAATTTGAACTATGTTTATTTTTCAGAATTACAAAGTTTGTCCTCACACTGCAGGCATAATTAATAAAATCTAATCAAAAACAAATAAAAAGAAATAATAAAACAGACTAAAAGGCTAAAACGATTAAAACGCCTCCTTGTTGGTTCCACAATAAGAGTGGAGTAGCATTCTCTTCACGTTTACACAGAGACAGAAACATATCATATCTGTGTAGATTAACCATTCTGTGGTCAGTATCTTTTAAGCAGTGTAAACCTATGTAGAGCTTCTGTCTTTGTTAGCATTAGTTGTATAAATCCCTCATTTTAAAATGTATTTGCTTTAATAATGCAGTGAGTGAGTTTATGAAAATATAGGTTTTCCCAAAGACACCAATATATATGTAAAGTTGATTTCCTTAAAAGATAAATAAGAAAACTAACAGCAACAGTTCGTCAGTTGTGAAATCACAGTTGAACTTGTCAGTTGCAACTGTCGCCCTTTCTTTCTTTCTTTTTTTTCCTTTCTTCTGCAGCTGTTGACTTCAGTCAGGTCGGCGCTGTTTGGTTCTGGCGTTCAAAGGTTGATGATAAAGTGAGCCAAATGAAGAAACGCAGACAAAGAAAGAAGAGAAATAATAATATGGCATCTTGTAGAACAAAATGAAACACACAAACCTTTTGTTTTATTATGAAAACTTTAAACCATTGTGTTTTTTGAGTTCGAGGATATCTCTTTCTCTGCAGGGACGTCCTACATAGCACACCCAAAAAAAAAAAAAAAAAGAGAGTTATGACACAATATGCATAAAAAAAAAAAAGGACAGCTGCACCACATGTGTGCTACTCGAGTGACAAACCTTCTGAGGAATGCTCAGATCCTTGGCGTCAGAATTCAAGCCAGAAGCGTCACCATTCTCCAGTCTGTTCAGTTTTGGAGTTTCAAGGGTTACCGGGCTGTCGTCCGTCTCTTCAATGTGCAGTGGGCCATTGTCTGCTGCAGACAGCTGGAGCTCCAAGCTATCTGATTCATAGGAGTTATTTTGTTCAGAGCTGCTTGCACTTGGTAGATCTTTTTTTCCATCTCCTTTATTTTCCGATTCTACGGGCGGCTTGGGCTCTTCTTCTTTCACAGCCTTTTCTCCTTCAACTTGATTGTTGTTGTCTCCCGACTTCAGCTCACTTCCTGATGCACTCTCTACAGCATCTTCCTGTGCAGAAGGGCTGTGGACCTCACTTTGGTACGACCCTACATCCAGTTCCCTGGACTCGACTAAAGACCCTCTAAGCATGCTGCCTTCTCTGGACAAGGTGCTGTGTGGAGGTTTTTCCGGGGATCTGAAACTAAACCGCTGGCTCGTTCTAGGACTGAAGCTCCTGTGAACCTCAGAAAAGCTGGCCTTCCAAGCCTTTGGAGAGATCAGACTTCGTCTTTTCAGTGAGCCATACCTGGAATATATAGTGAGAGAGAGGGAGTGAGATAGAGAAAGATCAAATCATGGAGATAAGAATGCAGTTCAGTACTGTGGAGTATTGCCAGAATATGGTGGAACAAATGAATAAAGCTTTATAACAACAGTGCATTTAGCCATAAAGCACAATTAAATGCTTTCTGAATCTGCAAAAGTAATAATTAAAAGAAAATGCTGCTTGTATTATTACTCTAGGAGAAGATGTGACTATGGTGGGTAATTTCCACATTTTTCTGAAACTGTAATGAGAAATTAAAAATGTTTTTCATTTGGAAATTGCCTTCAAGCTTTAAAGTTAAGAATTAAAAAACTCTCACCGGGACAATCCCTTTACAGCAAATGCTTTGTCTGGATGCTGAGCCTGCAGCTCCTTTATCACATTTTGTAGATCTTGATTGAGCTAAAATAGAAGATGGATGGTTAAAACAAAAAACTCAGGACAATCAATATTGGGTCACACATAAGGGAGCAAACATACCGTACTCATTTCCTTGTGGAAGATGTCTCGTAAATTTGACACAGCTGAGAAGACAGCTACGTAGCATCCAATACGACTAAAGGAGACAAACATTGACAAGTAATGTTTAAAAAAAGATAAATTGTTGCAAATTCAGTGAATATTTGAATAATATGCAATACTGAATAATCTTCATATTCATTCTGACAGAATAAATATATACTGTCAGACCTGTCAAAGAGAACTGGGAGCTCCTCTTTCAGATCGTTATTGATCCCCTCATAGATAACTTTGGCAGTATTCATCTCTTCTTTTGCCTGCAGAATGAAAAAGCAAGTCAATTTCAATGCATGTGTTATAACGAATTAGGGTTGATTACAAAGAGATATTGATGTTATTCTAATTACCTTGCTTATCTTGACATCATCCCTCTTTTTCGCAGTCTGCAGTGCCTCTAGCTGGTGAAGGGAGGAGTCGTAGTCAACCAGCTTTCTTCCCCTCTTGGCAATTTTGTCCTACAGTTTTTACAATGGAGCAAAACAGAGTCATACATATTGTCTATGTATATGTAAGTGAATTATAGTACATGTTTGTCTTAACTTAGTTTTGTGCATTTGCTCTCAGGCTCTTTGTCTGTCTGCATATTGACTTATGTTTGCTTGCATACTTGTTTGCCTTACCCTAACATCAGGGAATTGGCTCACGTAGGACTCCATGGTGCGCACGGCCTGGTCTAATAGCTTCACCTCGTAGTCATTCCACAGGAGGTCCTCCCCCTGCATCACAAGTACAGCATAAAATATTGCATTAATTATGCATAACAAGGGGAAAAATGTGGGGTCTTGTTCCCCTGGTGATGCATGCATTTCGCTGTTTTTGCACTTGTGGAATTAAAATGTGCTGCAATAGGTCTTTTTTGTAGTACCACTGACCTCAACAATGGCTCCTAAATCTTCCTCTCCAGCCCAGTCAGATTCATAAACATCAAACAGAGACTGGGAAAGGCGTCTTGAAGCTTCACGCATGTCTGTATAAAGCAGAATCGACTATTTGAGACCTGCAGAGGGCACAAATCTACAGTTCTACAGCATCTTCAAACAAAGACTATTTTCACCTCTAACTGCATTAACGTAGACCCTCAAGTCCTTGTATATTCGGTTCCCATCAGTCTGCAAATAAAGCATAAGTATACACATGATTATCTTGCTTACCTTTATTAACTTTTATGATGTTTGATTCACTGCTTTTACTCAATAACCCTGTGTTTGCATATACTGCAAAATGTGTTAAGACAGATATGAAAAACTTTCTGCTCAAAGTCTTTTTCAACTCCCATAATAAAAACAATGCTGGGGGGATGATTACCTGCTGGTCACTAAAGTTTTGGAGACAATGTTCAAAAAGATCATCTCTGGTCTCCATTGACTTTCCCAGCCTCTGCATTACCTGCAGATAAAGCACAGAAAAAAAGCTAAATCTCAAAGTAACAGCAATTAAATGGCAATAAATTTGTCTTTCTTGCCATAGGGGAAACAGGAACTTGCAGACTATGTACCTTTTCTTTGCCTCTGCTCAGCTGTCTTTGGACTTTTTTAGCAAAGTCACCAGAATTGCCTCTCGGACTTGTCTTGTCTGCCATATTTTGTCTTGTCTGTGTTTATTCTTAAGAGGAAAAAGAGAAAAAAAAATATCACAACACTTTCCTGCAACATCACAATTACTAGGTGTACTTCTGCAGAATGTCTGGTTCAAATATATTTTGCCTGAAAGCATTGTTACCTTTGTGGCTGTTATATCACAGTATTAATTTCAATTTGTTGCACCTTCCATACAAATTAAATGCAATTCAAGTGATTACAAGTGATGGAAACACACAAGATGGAAATCACAGGTTGGGAAATTAATGCACACCAATATAGTATTAATATAAGAGAATAAAATAGGTAAAATCAGGTTTAAAATGTGCATAACTACAGTTAATAGAATGATACAGGATACATTTAATTCCTAGCCGTATTTGTAGGCAACACACACTGATGACACTTGCATTAGTAACAAGAAATCAACAGACTAAATGTGGAACAAAGACACAATGTTTTATATTGTGTGGGACAATTAGTTAAACATTCATGCATTGTCTTCTTTTTTTTTTTTTTTTTTTTTTTAAATCACAAAACAGCTGAAGTACTGTTATTTGGCACTTGGCAGATTACTCTTTAAAATTACTGTATGTATTCTTCCTTTTTATGGCCTTATGTACAAGTCTGATGTGCCTCTGCAATTTTTTGTTTTAACAGATCATTGACCATGTGCCTAAAACTAAATTGCAGGACCCTTGCTGCATTGGCAGGAGCCACATATAAATAAAGCTACTGTATATAAGTGTGGCGGCAGGGTGTGGTTCTGGTTTTGGCTCAGCTGTGGGGGAGAGATGAAGCAGGAAGTTCAAGGTTCACTGCAGAGGAGAGGCTGACTGGGACAGCTGTTGCACATGGACTAATAAGTCTTTTCTACTTATGCAGCAGCACGCTGGCACCAACGCAGGATGGAAGCACAGACAATAGCTGGAAACCAACTGAGAAATCTAACCCTGCACATGGCAGTGCAGGGTTGTCACAATGTGCACGACTGGAAAAAAAAACCCACAGTGCTAAAGTGCAAACAGTTTTTGCAAATAAACAATAGTGGCCAATACAAAGCTGAGTCTGTGTGTCAGCAGACAGAGCAACAAGTCATTAAAATAATCTCCAGATTAGCAGCATTTAAGTCACATACACATTAATGTATCACGGTTTCCAAGATATAATGTTTAAATTCTTTGTGACAGTAAATACCAATAACAGCTCAAGCTGATTTAATGTTGGTGAAAATTGTGTCAAGGTCACAAGCAACGTGAAAATGAGTAAAAACTTTTAAAATATCTTCAAACTTCACAACAATATACTAGGCCTTGGTGATATGAGTACCTAGGGTTAGTATTTTACCTTCACCTTCATTGTTAGCACTTAAGGTCAAAGTTGACCTTGAAAAATAATTTCAAGGAAATGTATTGAATATGAAAGGGCATGGAGAGAATAAAATGCACTTCGCATTTTTCCAGTCTGACACCCTGCGTCGTCACAAGTTGACATCATCGTATTGTAAAACTCAACGTTTTAGTGTTACCCTTCGGGGGAAGTTGTGCTCTCTGAGGACTCTTGACTTTTCTGGGCCTTTTGAAAAAATCCTGGAAACGCCCCTGATTCCACTGGGGGATTATAGAAGGCCTCAAGTGACAAAATGAATTAAATAAATGCATTTAATTCATACTAACGGCGTCATTATTAATTGAAATCAGAAATAAATAAATAACTTGTGAAATGATTTAAATAAATTAAATTGATATCTAATTAACATTGTATATAACTAATTTGTTATGTCAAATGTAATTAATTATTTAATAATGCATTGACTTAACTCGTTTGGCACTCGGAGTCTTCCATATAGGGCAGCAGCTTATGGAACTTGCTTACATCACCTCTTAGAACGACAATACCCAGAAATCCCTGCGGCAACCCACTTCCAGCAGTGTGATATTGGTGAACTTTCGCCTACACGGAGTGTTTTTATTACTTTTGGCGTAGGAGGAGTGGTCTTATGACAGAGTCGCGGATTCCCTTGCTACTCGCCGAGCTGCAGGACATGATCATGGGGAGCGTTCTGGCCAAATGTGCCATCACCGACCTGGGCATCCAATGGGCTGGCTGGGCTCTGGCTGCGGCTTTCAAAACCGAGAAGTTTTATGACTTGGCAGGTAATCTGAAAACCCGTTTCCTAAACAGTAATTTACGACCCTGTACTGACTACTTTTGCAGCTTTGCTTGTCTGTCAGTGAAGAACTGCAACTAAAAAGTGCTCGAACTCGACTCGACTGAAAGCGAAATACATCTAAAGGGGGAACAGTCGATATGTCTGATCCGTGTAGACTGATTTAATTTGTAAAAGCGTGTTTTGCACTTAAAGAAGACTGATCATTACAAAACCTGCATTATCTAAAACAGCTTTGTTGTGAAACAGCGCGGAAGGAGCTCCTCCTTCGGCTTAACAGGCGCATGTGTCAGCAGGGGCGTGCACAGCTGTCCTGGGTTGAATCAAAAAGGGCTTTTTAAGGGCCCCTATTAAACAATTTATAATTAGTTTTAATCATGCAGTGATTAAAAGAGAGAGAGACAGAGAGAAGAGAGAGCTTAACAGCATTTCATATGGCTGTAGGGGGATATTAGTGTCATATTTAATCATTTTTGCATTTTGTTACTGCACAGCTGACAGAATTACCCAATGAGTCAGTAAGCTAGTTTACAGCAAATTTCACTGCACTTATTCTGATAATTGAATAGCTTTTACTTTGTACTTCTACATATAGTTACCTAATTTTACGCGGGGGGG